TTGTCATGGTGCTGCTGGTACCGCAAAAGCTTTGGGAATCCGGGAATGAAGAAACCTGAAAAATTAGTAGTCTGTTAATGCCTGTTAATATCTAAGAATAAATAAAACCTACTCCATTCATGTAGACACAAGTATTAAAAATAGAATAAGACCAATTTTATTTGCAAAGATCACACATCAATCCCTGACAGACCTCACCAGGCAATATGCTAGGTTGTCCTCCTATACACTCACACAAATTTCATAAACCAATATAATCTTGCATCACATTCAAAAGTCAATAAACTTCCATGACTTCTACAGAAAACGTAAACAACTGATTACTCACCATGCATGGCATACTTGGGGGAGGACATGAGAGCCGAGAGGGCCCAAAACGCGTCCTCTTCATTCAGGTACATGAGTAGCAACGCAGCAATCTGGACATACCTTGGCAGTAACCCACTTCTTGGTTGTACATTGAGTATGCAACTGCAAGAAGATAGAAAAACATAAAAGAATAATTAACTAATGCTACAGCCCAGTTCTGGCTTACTTTGAGATCAATGCATTTACTTCTAACTATACTAGCCCTGCTTTCTTAAGGCATGGCCCAAGGAATGTTGGTTTGGACCCTTTAGATACTCAGGTTTACAATCTTCAAAATGCCAGTACATACCTCAAGTGGGCATGAATAAAATGTTATATATTCCTAGTCCAAACGGCTATACTTTCTCATGCCTCACAGTTCCATTCATTCTTATAAGCCAACTAGCAACATAGTATAAAATCACTGTACCTAGAAAACCAAACAATCCTTGCACACCTCACCACATCTCCTATTTCTCCATGTTGGTAGATATTGACAGCTATTCCTGTATGACTCGCACTCTTTATGCACTTTGACACCTATATCTTTCAAAAGCAGAAATGTCGTCTATGGTAGGTAAGGAGTAGCTTTTCTGAGCCACAGGGGTGGGACATGCCACAGTCGATATAGTGAATTCTGATATTTCTCTGGAGGGAGACAAGGGTTAATCTCTTAATCTCCTCAATACAATAAGGTACCTGAAGAGGAATTCTCCAGTATTGCTTCAGCATGCTTAGACGACAATATAGTAGCATTAATAATCGACCTTGGCAAGCCTTCCTAGAATAAAACCACGTAGTCTGTCTTTATTAACAATATGCCGGGCACATCTTGCTTTTCCCTACTGGAAAAATAAACGTCAGATGTCAGACAGCAAACCATGAAGAGATTTTTTACACCGCGACAAGCAATGTCTAAAAGCATACCTAGGTCAAATATACTAAAATAAACAAACAAACAAACAAATACACACACACACACAAAATGTTCAGAGGTGAGTCTAATTAAATGTTGGAATGAATGGAATGATGTATAAGCACAGTAATTATCTATGACAAAAGACATGAAACAGTATCTATGACAACTACTGCACATTGGAATGTGTATGAAAAAAAGCCAACTCTTAAAAAGAGTCTAGCAAAGAAACTGATGAATGACAAAAATAGTTCAAAAATCTGACTGACACACCATCCAATCCTGTTACTATGCTAATTCTTCAATCATTACTTTTTCACATCTAAAAAAAACAAAGTCCCTGGTCCTTACCAAGAATATGAAAGAGTTGCCGTTGCTTCTCATCATATCTTTTACGAAACATGGAATGATCTCTGTAGGTTCTGTTAACATCTAAGTCAATCTGTCGTACATCCGTGGACCACTTGCGTCCGAGTCTTCTCATTTCCTGTTGACAATATTAATCATGAGATTATTACTATTACTACTATTACAACAACTACTACTATTACAATAACAATTACTACCACTTATATAATAATAATAATAATAATAATAATAATAATAGTAATAATAACAATAGTAATGATGATGATACCAACATTAACAGCAACAGCAAAAACATCAACAACAGTAACAATATTAATAATGATAATGATAATAATGATAACAGATATGGTGATGGTGGTGATGATGATGACAGTAATAGTAGTAATAGTTATAGTAACAGCAACAGTAAGCAATGACACTAAAACCAACGAAGATCACTATTGTGAACATGTGATGGTTACTAATCATAGTGGCAATGAAAATGAGAACAACACTGTTAAAATAAATGTAAAACAGGCTAATGAAAAAACAAACATAACAAATTTGTTCAAGAATCAAAATTATTATTATTTTTTTTTTTTTCAAATGGAGAGAAGCCTCCATCTCTGCCTACCTCATATTTCCCTTTCTGCCCTCCTTGATCTGCTCGAGTAGAGCAGCTTGGCCCACACAGTGCCCCGAAACCGGTCAGGAATCCCTTTGTAGACGCGTTTGAAGAACTTCTCCTTGTCCCAATATTTTTCCCACGACTTTATCATCTTTGTCCACTTGGGTATCCTGGACATTTCGATCTCCAGTCTCTTCTCCTCCTCCTTGGAACGGGACTGAGGCAGCCTGTTGTCACTGCAGTAAGGAGAAGCAGAGGGGAATGTTAAAAGACGACAAATTGGGTATTTGGGCTGTTGGTACTTAATGAAGAGAGAATTTGTGCTTTCACATTTTTAAATACCATTACACATTCATCCTTTAATAAATGTAATATGAAATGGTAATGGCGCATTAGAGGCTTTCATTCCAATAAATGCATAACAGATGTTGGACTAACCCTAAACCAAAACAAATAATGAAAGGCTCAGTTATCATATCAACTGAGAAGAGGTGTGAATAAAACATTTTGCTATAGTACAGTAATTGTTAATAATCTGGAATTCATTAAACAAAATGTTTTGCTTCTCAATCAGGTGATAAAACACAAAGTAACATTACAAATGATGAAACAGTAAAGGATGTTATTACATTCTAAAAATCAACATTATCATCAATTATCAAGTAAGTATTAGTGTAAAAAAAATAAAAATAATAATAGGGTCACATTAGGTACGCAATCTAGCAACATTTTAACTATGCAAGTAGTGGCAACATCAGCAGAAAATGAAAAACAAAATTTGATTTTTATCTAAAGGAATCAAATTACTGCTGTCAAACCATTAAGAACTTGTAATAAAGAGAGATAGTCTGGCTCTGAATCTTGCTTGCCATACATCCCTTTATATACAAATGCTCCTACATGTGTACATAGTTATATGGAGTACAAACAGAATGATTATATATACAAATACATACAAAATACACATGCACATACACACAGACATAATGCACTTATCACTCATGCACACATCTATACCTTCCACAGTCACATCACTTACTGTATAAAGCCATATCTGTCTGTGGTGTGATAGACCTCGAATTCTGGTCTTCCCATGGATCTATGATAGCCCCTTCTTCGCGGCCAAGATCGTACCGGCCGACGATGGCTGCACGCTCCTCCCTGGCCCGGATGAGCAAACTCCTCGCTCAATCCTACAGGAGATGGGAGGGAGAATGAGGTCAGATGAGTACATATTGGTGATGTGTTTGTTCAGGTGCAGTGTGTGATGAACTTATTTCTTATTGTTTTCTTTTGACGAGAAGGCTTTCTTTCTATCAAATTATTTACGATACTCAGATATTTCTTATGTATGATTAATATCATTATGTTATATCATTATTCACAACAAAAATCTTGAAAGTGCAACATTTCATAAGGCTTGAACACAGACTGAGGATTAAATTGGAATCACAAAAAATACCCGCAGTAGAAAAGCCCTGAAAGTGCCATAAAAGAGGCTTCCAATTGATCCAAAATGATATACAATTTTCCACAGCCATTTAACCTCATCAAGTGTCGCTTCTCTACCTGCGGTTATCTTTTAACAACATTTTTACTTTTTTAAAAAAGAAATGAAGTCTCACAGCTTAGCACCAGCAGTAGTTACTCTCTAACTGCTAGAAAGAATGAACATTTTTTTTTCCTCTGTGCAAATCTGCCATGCCTCACACTTTCAACAGTAATTCCACATAATGACTCTAACTGATTTCACTGCTTTCAGTGGTGGTACTCTTTTATCTACTTATTAAACTTGACTGGTACTCTCATTTTCTGAGGTTGCTGTTCTGATTACAAATGTCCACCACTGAAAAGGTCTTTGTCTTACAAGCTAATGCAGTTCAAGATGCTTTGCTTTCTGAAGTAGTGACTTTCTCCAGACTATGAAGTAACATCTAAGGGAGATGTCTAAGTGGCATTAAGCTTCTTGTTATTTTTTTCTACAAGTTTCACACAGGCTCCAGCAGTTATGGAGTATCTACTTGCAGTTTCAGAACCTATATTTGAGCTCTATGCAAGAAATACTAAAGTGGGGAAATAATCTAAGCTAAAAAAAAAAAAAAAAAATGCTTTAATAAAATCTAAACTTATTACTGAATTTTATCTTTAGAAAAATAAATGTATTGCACTAGTTTTGCTTTATTTCTTTATCTTTCAGTAATAAGCAAATACATAAATAATTCAAATAGTAAGCAAATTGATTTTAAAAAGTGGGTGTTACAACAAAGCTATAAAAGAAACTGTAAAGCCTTATGAAAATAAATCCATGGAGGTAAATGAATCACTCAGGTAAAGATTTTCAATATTTCTTCAAAAAACCATACCGCAAATGTAAAAATAACCTGTGAATTCTTCTAAAAAATTAAAGAAAAAAAAAAACACTTCAAGCACATACAATGAAAGGTTTGTATGTGGAAAATAAGCACTCAAAAAAAGAAACCAATGTTTGTAACTTTCAAAGTACATTTACCTCTATATATGAATACCAAAAGGAAGGACATCCTTTAGCCATAATAAACAAGTGATAAAAAAGTAAAATATGCTCCTGTGGCTGTATATATACATATAAATAAAAAATCTGTAATTTTGCATCAAAAGACCACTCACTATTTGGACTCAAGCAAAAGTGGAAAAATAAGTAAACAACTAAAAAAGGCTCTCACAGAGCCTGAAGAAACAATTGGTAACCAGTAACAAGGCAAGACTTCTCAAAAGACCAGAAAGAGATAAAGAGTGAGAGAGAGAGAAAAAAAAGAGAGAAAGTGTTAGAGAGGGAGTGAGAGATTGCTGAAGTTTTACCCATGAGAGATCGGGAGTCTGGGTTGAGCATCTTCCGAATGTCCTGATTTCTGCGAGCTAAGGGGGAAGGACAGTATCATCGTGTCAGCCATGAATGGAGTAAGAAGTACATTACACGCTGACAGAGCACTGAACACATGGCACTCAAAAGTACCGATATCAACAGGCAAGTTCAGGTAACTCTAATATGGCTTACTCTCTTGCAAGTGTCCTCATCCAGGCACGGAAGGGAAAAGTGAGTGTGAACGTACACATAACTACCTGATGATAAAGGCTTCTCAAGAAAATTGCACAAACTGTTGTAAATATCACTCACATGCGCATTTTCTTAGTGGAAAAATTGCTATGATATGAAGATTCTTTGGGCAATCATTCGAAAATCTGGATAACATTTCATGGCTTTGCAAAGAAATTCAGTAATAAAAATGCAAGAACATTGTCCTGTAAACAGATACGTGTGAGTGCATACATACATACAATTATGAATGCAATCACAAATATACATTATATATATTCCCTTTTCACCATGTATACAATGCCATTCCATTTTTCCCGTTCTTACAAATAATTTATCCTATTAGTCCAAATACTGCCTTGAATGTTATATATACTGTTCTGCTTCATCATTGTATCCAAAATTTTTATTTTCATAAGAATGGCAATTAATATGACTACGAAAAATGACATGACAGTAACATTCCTTTCTGTCATCATTATAATATACAACAATTTCTCTTGTCATACAGTAATCAACAAAAAGACTTAAAATAACACCTTGACATCATGAACCACAAGAAGGCAATCAAATAAACAAACACAAATAAATAATAGCACTATCCTCCACGGATAATCCTTATCTTAATTCACATCCTGTCTAAAAGTCCCATTTTCTACCTTCCCTTCCCTTCTCCCCATCACCCATACCTTAGACCCTCCATCTCTCCTTCTATCGTCCCCCTCCCCTCCCTCAACACCCCGATTTTTTCCCTTCCCTCCTCCCTCCTATCCCAAGTTTCACCCCTCGACCCACCCTTACCCCTCTCTCCCCTCCACCTCCACAAACTGTTGTCCCATCCTCCTCCCACTCCTCCTCGACCCCATTCCCTCTACCCCCTCCCGTTCCCCCATCTGGCCCCCCCTACACCTCCTCAACTCTGTCCCTTATCCCACCCTGACTCTTGTTCCTCTCCCATTTCCCTCCTCGCCTCCCTAGCCCTCCTAGCCGCCCCCTCCCATCTCCCCCTCATCTCCTCCCCACACCCTTTTAAACCAGTGCCACTTGGCTCTGCTGGAGAGGGTGCCTCAACGAGTCAGCAGGATGCAGCACTCGCGGCTTTGGTTCCTTGGAGGAGAAATGTAAAAAAGAGGAAATTGGTGGGGGGAGGAGGAGGAAGGCTAGCAAAATAAGAAATTGGAATAGAAGAAAAACATAAATCATTAAAAAAAAAAAAATAATGGAGGAGGTGAAGAGTAGAGGGGGAGAGGGGAGAGAGGGAGGGGGAGAGGGGAGAGAGGGGGGGGAGAGGCAGAGAGGGAGGGGGAGAGGCAGAAGAGGGAGGGGGAGAGGGAGAGGGAGAGAGAGAGGGAGAGAGAGAGAGAGAAGAGAGAGAGAGAGAGAGAGAGAAGAGAGAGAGAAGAGAGAGAGAGAGAGAGAGAGAGAGAAGAGAGAGAGAGAGAGAGAGAGAAGAGAAGAGAGAGAGAAAGAGAAAGAGAAAGAGAAAGAGAAAGAGAAAGAGAAAGAGAAAAAGAGGAAAGAGAGAGAGAGAGAGGAGAGAGAGAGAGAGAGA